TACGCAACATCCTCGGTGCCCAAGAGCTGCCTCAACTGCCCAGCTCCAATGGTGGCAAAGCCTTAAGATCACTGCCCCGCCCAGCACCGCAACGACCGTTCCAGAAGCCCCTACCCCCACCCCTCACTGAGGCCATCCAATCAGATTGTGCCACGCAGAGAGGGTGGGGCCAGGCCCTGCGTGCACGTGGGGGCCTCGTGGCTTCCGGAGCACACACGAGGCCTGTGAGCTGACGTCAGGTGACCTGGACAGGCACGTGTTTATGAAGACCAGCGTCTTGTGGTTTTGCTGTCGGAGTCTGCTGCTAGTATTTACTGGACCCACTTGATACTCCGCGTTTGGTTGCTATCCCTGGGGAGGCCTCCCCTTTTCTAAAGGGAAGAGGGGGAGCTAAGACACGGGACTGGGGAGGAAGGAGAGGAAAGTGCAGTTTGGATGTAATATCTGAAAGAAAAACTAACAAAAAACATAATAATTTAAGAAAATATTTACTGCATCCCTGCTACCAGCCTGGCCTAGTGTCCCTCAAGGACTAAATTCAACTGGAACTGGACTGCAAACCACAGAGATTATAACTTTATGCCTACAGGGACACCAGAGCGGTCACTCTACCATGGTCTCACTGCTGCTTAACTAGGGCAACTCTTAGTGTTCCCTTCTCACATGACCCAAAGATCAGGCAATTTTTAGAGCTTGTAAGCTCTAGGTCATGCGAAGACTATTGGGTAGCTCTTAGACCTTGGCCTTTGGGGCAGATTTGGCTTAATTCACAGAGCAGCTTGAGGTTCTGAGAGAATACAGATGCAAAGTGCTAACAACACTTCCCAATGAAGGATCTGCTAAACAGCACTCTCCATAAAGCAAGAGAAACCGCTTAAGTTTTTCCCACATTTTAGCCTCAAAATGCAACATTAGGTGCTTTGAAATTTTAGATGATTTACAGTGTTTTGGACTTGAAATTACATTAAAAGGCTGTTGATTTCCTGGTTCGAAACATCTTCGAATAGCTTACTATGTTGCTCCTTGTGGTAGTTCGCAACTGTAATCCTAGCAGTTGGGAGCCTGAAACAGTTTGCCAGCCTGAGCAACAGAGTAAGAGATTAGAGAGAGAGAGAGAGAGAGAGAGAGAGAGAGAGAGAGAGAGAGAGAGAGAGAAGAAAATAGTCAAAATAAAATACTCTTTTTGAAACAGCTTTTGTTTATGGTTTATATCTGTCTACAGGAAATCACAACCAAAAAGTTTTATGTATTCGCCCAAATGATTTTTAGCTGTCAGTTTGGCACAGCCCAGAGTTATCTGAAGAAGTCTTGACCTTCTTCAGATAGGGATTGTCTGAGGGTACTGCCCAGATCAAACTGGAATGTGACCGTGTCTGTCAGACATTGTCTTGATTGACGAGTGATGTGTGAAGGTCCACTGTGGGTGGCACCATTCCTAGGCAGGCGGAGCTGGGCATCCCTCCTCCATGGCTCCTCCCTCTACTCCTGCCTGAAGTTCCTGCCTTGTTGTCTTACCTCAGTAATAGATTGTGAGGGGTTTTGTTGTTGCTGTTTTAACCTTTTTTTTTTAAGATTTATTTATTTATTTCATGTATGTGGGTACCCTGTCGCTATCTTCAGACACACCAGAAGACGGCATCAGATGACCATTACAGATGGTTGTGAGCCACCATGTGGTTGCTGGGAATTGAACTCAGGACCTCTGAAAGAGCAGTCAGTGCTCTTAACCACTGAGCCACCTGTCCAGCCCTAGATTGTGACTTTTAAGTGTAAGCTGAACTTAACCTTTCCTTTCCAAATTCCTCTAATCAGAATATTTTATTGCAGGGACAGAGATCAAAATAAGACAGTACCGATTAACTTAAAGTAGCAATTAAAAACTCACTTGACCTCGAGCAGTATTAGCTTATGATAATCACTATACGTCCGAAAGGCTCATGTGGAAGAGCAACGCTTAAATTTTTATATTTTATATAAATTTTATATAAATTCTTACATACATCAAAATTTTATATTTTTATTTACAGGTATGTACAAGTGTATGTTCTGTGTGAACGCAGGGCCCATAAGAGCCAGGGGAGGACAATTGACCATCCCGGAGCTGGAGATAACGGTGGCTGTGAGCTGCCCAACATAGGTGCTGGATACTCTGGTAGAGCAACTGCTGCCCTTAACTGCTGAGTCATGTTTCCAGCCCCAGAGTGACACTTAGAGCTCTTCACTCACCAATCCCTTAGTGTCTAACTGAATGGAAGATAGCAGCTTTTCTGTCGCTGTGTTAACACTATATGACATCACATGCCCCATAGCCTCTGGAAAATTCCATTGGGCACGTGAGAAAGTTCTAGCAAGAAAAAGGCAAATATTACTACTGTGATGAAAGGTTCTGGTCCTCTGAGGCCTTAGAAACCACTAAACCTGGGGGATCGATGCTCTGAAATAGCAAACTTCCCAAGTGTTGTATGCAGCTTCGTTAGACCCAGACCCCCCTTCCCTTCAGAGCGGGACTGTGGTCACCGCACTTCACTCTCCTCTGCCTTCCCCACCCTTCCACCAGAGCTCATTTTTCTCTGGCCTGAATGAGTTTACTGTGGCTCTGTTAGTAATCATTCCGTTCGTCTCAACTTGTTCAAAACTAGACTTCACCTTTACTAAATGCTAGTTTTCCTATGAAGAGAATTCCAGAAGGACAGTTATTTAACATTACTAGGTGTTGGGATCTTTTTGTTTGGCAGTGCTTGAAATGGAACCCAGGGTCCTCACACATGCTAAGCAAACGCCCTTCCGCTGACCTTCAGCTGTGGTCTTCGTCTTCAGTTTTATCATGTGACGTCCAGACTTTTCATTTCTCTGTCTGCTTGGTTTCACTAAGACTTTTTTGAGCCTTTGATTTTTTTTATATCCCTTTTAGAAAATTCTCAGTCAGCAATTAGCTCTTCAAATATTTCTTCAAATATTCTTCATTGATTTCTAAGTCCCAGTTATTTGTATGGTCAAGCAGAAAGCTCAGTTGTAGAATTTCTATCTTGTTCTAGGGCCCAGATTCATCCCCAGTACCACGAGAGAAAAGCTGGATAGAGTGGCTGACTCTTGTAATTCTAGCACTAGAAACTGAGGCAGGAGAATTGTCATGAGTTTGAAACCATACTTAGACACAGGCAAAACACTGATGCATAAAATAATAGCAATTTAACTAGAACAACAAAGTAGCATTATCTAGACCGTTCCGTTCACTGGGTAAAAGTGCCTGACAACCTGATGCCCGGGACCTCCACATGGATGCCATGTCACTTGGGATTGTTCCCCACTCTCATCCATATAATAATATTTGTTAAAAGAGAAAAATAAAGAGAAAAGGAGGAAGGAGAACAGTACCAGCTGCCCTGGGCTGAGGGAGTGGGCTCACTTTTCCGTGTGATGGCTTTGTCTTGTTTGTCTGTATTTCTGATTAGTTTCTTCTGTGTTCTGCTTCAGTAATTACAAAACATACCTAATTTGTTTTAATCCAATAGGTGGCTTTCTGTTTTCAGTTTCTGTTCAGATTTTAGTCACTTCTTAAACAGAAGTCTGGGGCTAAAGAGATGCCTTAGTGATTCACAGCATTTGTTGCTCTTCCGAAGGACCCAGGTTCAAATCCCAGCACCAGTGTGTTAGAACACAACCATCCATGATTCCAGTTGCTGGGTATCAAATGCCCTCTTCTAACTTCTGAGAGTGAACAGGCACATACTTGGTACACAGACCTAGATGTGAGCAAAACACTCATACACATAAAAAAATCTTTTTTTTTAAACTAAAAATAGCAAGAACTATTTTTGTTCATTTGTTTTGGTTTGGTTTTGTTTTAAAACTCGGTCTCAGGATGCTCTTAAAACCCTGATCAACTGCCTCTACTTTCCAAGTGCTAGAATTAAATTACCATACACCCAGCTAGCATGCTTATTAAAAACAACAACAACAACAACTTAGGTCTAGTCCCTAGAGTTCCTGCAGAAGCCTTTGCATCACTTTACAACATTTTTAAGGATAATTTCTATGTACAGAATGGCTGCTTAATCAAATATGTAGAGTAAAAAGAAACAATACTAAGGAAAATGGCAAGAAATGCCAAAAGCCCGGCATAGTGGTGCAAGCCTTTAATCCCAGTAGATAAGAGACAGAGGCAGGCAAATCTCTGAATTTGAGGTCAGCCTGGTCTACATAACAAGTTACAGAAAGACCTGTCTCAAAAAAAAAAAAATCAAGTATAAGAGATTTTGCCCTTTTCCATTGTTGCTTTGTTTCCTTTGCTCTTTTTGCTTGTTAGGGGTGTGGGGGGAATGTGAGAGTCTCACTAAGCAGCCCAGACAACAACTTGTCAAACTCAATATAGACCCACAGCTCCAGCCTCCACCCTGTGCCAATGGCCCTTAAATGCTGGGATTAAGGACCTGAGCCACTATGTCTGGCCTTTGATTTAATTGGTTGTTTTTATTTTTTGAGATAGGTTCTCACTGTGTAGCTCTGGCTGTCCTGGAACTCACTAAAATAGACTAGGCTTGAACTCACAGAGATCTGCCTGCCTCTGCCTCCTAAGTGCTGGGATTAAAGGCTTGCACCAACACGCAAGGCGTTTGGTTTAGGTTTTCAGGCTGGCCTGAAAGTCAAATTTATGGCAGTCCTGCTGCTTCTGTCTCCTGAGGGCTAGAATTAAAGACATAAACCATCCAAAGGGGGCTTTTTGTTTGTTTTCTTTAAGGTCAATTTGTCAGGATTATCTACTGTCCTGGTTTCAGCATTGAAAGTCCTGTGTTCCCAGAAATCCACACACCCTGGGAAATCTGTTCAGTTTTATGACATCTAGAAATACAGTGGGCTTCTTCACCCAGCTCCTGCTGGTTTTGACGAACCCCCACCGAAGCTTGCAAGACGCGGGCGACCACTGGGGGCGCTGTGGTGCGCAGGCGCGGAAAGCCTGGCAGCCGGCGTGTGGAGTCTCCGCTCCTTCCGCTTTCCCAGCAGGCCCCGCGCGGCGCCTGCGTGCTCTGTGACCTTTCCCATTCTGTTGCAGAATTTGGTGTTGCTTGTGGCCTTGGTTCTGCCGAGGTAAGAGCGGGGCCTGGGCTTTTTACTGTGTTCCCAACCGGGGGGACTGCAGAGAGTCCGGGACCGGGTGCGATGGGGCCCAGGTAGGTCGCGAACCAGGCGACGGACTCTGGGATCCACGCTGACCTTGGGTCAGCCCCTGCGCCACCAACCGCAAGGAGGGTCCACGGAGTTCCCCCCGACTGTGGCGGAGGGAGTGCCCGGGTGAATCATCCAGACTGCGAGGATGTCCGGAGACAGTCCAACAGATCGCCAAGAGTGTCCCGGACTCAGTCACGCAGAGGGCGGGGATGTGCACGGATCCACACTGAAAGGGTGTTTTTGGAGCTAGTCTTCTGATTGTATGGGGAGAGAGAGGGTTTGTTGTCAGTCCCTTGGACTAATAAGAGTCAGCGAGGGTGTGCTCAGACATCAAATCTCTATGCTGAAAGAGCGATTATTCCTCAGGACTTGGAGGAGTAGGGACCCTAGTATCCATCCTCGCAGAGAAGTTGTGCAGGAGCTAGATTCTAGTGGAGGTCCACTCAGCCAGGACTATACCCTTGTGCTGACACATGGGTAGACCTGTGCAACTATAAGCTTTGGCAGAGGAGCATGCCACCATCAGCTGTGAACATCTTGTTACCTACTCAAGTTTCTCAGCTAGTTAGGGATGCAGCTAGACTCCAAGCCTAGAAACATCACTTCAAAGTTAGTGCCTTCTTCCCATCATACCACAGGTTTCTTCCAAGTTAGGCTTTGGCAAGGCTGATATTTGAAATTGTATGAAACCACATTATGAGCCTCAGACTGTTACATGTCCCCTCTTTCCAGTGTCCTGTCAGGTAATAGCTTGCTGTTACTGTAATTTTCATAAACTCTGCAGGTGAGGCAGTCTCAATAGACAGCCATTTGACCTTCGAGTAGGATGATCTTTTATTGAATCTGGTATTATAAAATTAACAATTGGGAAATGTGGTTGATCAGAGAGACTTAGGTGGGAAGAGTAGAGGCCTTATTGAACACGAAGAACATGTCACTTGTGTAGTCAAATACAGCCGCACTAACCAAAAGGGAAGTCCAGGAGCAAGAGACAGAAGGGGGGGGGGGGGATGTGTGAATGTACTGGATAGCACCAGGCTTCCACTGTGTCGGGACCCATGGCAGTTTAGAGTAAGGACATAGTGCCAGGATCCCTCCATCCTGAGCAAAATACCAAAGTCACTGAAGTCCCTTTACACCCTTCTCTTTACCTTTTCCTTCTAGACCCTCCTGTGAGACCACATCTCTTTTTCAGGGCGTGGGGAGGTCAAGACAGGGTTTCTCTGTAATGACCCTGACTGTCCTGGAACTCCCTTTGTAGATAGACCAGGCTGGCCTTGAATTGAGAAAGATCCACCTGCCCCTACCTTCCAAATGCTAGGATTAAAGTCAGGCACTGATAACGTGCCGGCCTTGATATAGCTCAATACTTCTACCCAGCCTATGTGATGAAACCTCTCTAAGTACTTTCTTAGAATCCCAGGAATTGCTGCTTTCTATTGAGTTTTTGTAGCAATTCCTTATTATTGATTTGGTCACTTACAGAGTGCTCACTGTGCATTGGGTGCCATTCTGGATCCATTTTGTTGTTGTTTTGGTGGTGGAGGGTGTTTGTTTTTCTTTTTGTTTTTTTGAGACAGGTTCTCATTGTGTAGCCTTGGCTATCCTGTAGACCAGGCTGGCTTTGAACTCACAGAGGTACCCTCTCTCTTCTGAGTGCTGGTTTGCTGGGATTAAAGGCTTGTGCTACCACCTCCCAGCTAGGGTCCTTTCTATTTCAAGAATCTGTGGAGCAATTAAGGAGTCCATGTTTGACAGACCTGATAAAGGAGATTTAGAGAATGCCTAAAGTCAAGAACAGAGCCGGACCCCAGGGGTTCTAACCCACTGGTCCCCTACAGTTCTCTCTCGGTGCTTGCCTGTCCCACAGAGATGCCTCTCTACTGACTCAGTGACTTGGGTTCCTTCATGATTTCCAGAGGCTGCCTTGTAATGATATCTGAAGTAGGACAATTCCACTAGAACATTTGGACACACATATTAGAAGGAATTTAAGGACAGAGAGACGATCTAGGGTAAGATAATAGCACCACTCGACAAGTCAACTCTCACTGGACTAGCTAACCCTTCAGGCCTTCCCTCCACTCACGTTCATTCCCATAGGAAAGAGCAGAAAGTAAGGCCATAGAGGCAGGTCGACTCCTGCAGTAATCAGCAATGTGGGCCAGATTTGTTGTGATCTAGTTTTGTTTGGATCATTGATAGTTTTGGGGCACAGTGTAGAAATATGTCAAACAGTATGAATGAGTACCCTACGTTGTTGTCTGGTGCCCTAGGAGGTGAAAAGACTCCCTGGAACTGGAGTACATTACACACCAGAAGAGGGCATCAGATCTCATTACAGATGGTTGTGAGCCACCATGTGGTTGCTGGGATTTGAACTCAGGACCTCTGGAAGTGCAGTCAGTTCTCTTAACCACTGAGCCATCTCTCCAGCCCTGGAGTACATTACAAATGGTGGTAAACCACCTTGTAGATTCTGGGACAGGGACTTGCTGAGCCATCTCCACCCCCAGGAGACATCCCTAAATTCAAGTCTAAATGGTGTGCACATCTTCCCTGTTTCCCTAGTTCAACAGTAACAGTCTGTATAACAAGCACTCCTGACATGATGCCAGGGCCGTGTGCGTTTTACATGTACTAACGCAAGAATCCTAGACCCGTGTGGAGTGCAGCTCTTTTATTATCCGTGTTACACAAGCGAGGTCATGTCAGTCAGTGGGTGAAAACGGCAGCCGCCCTCTCCCCCATCTTCGAGTTCACTCTCCGTGCTTCTGCTGAAGACACTTCTCCCGGTGGCCTGGCTCTCCCTTGCCTCTTCCTTCGACAACCACATGTGCCCTTCATTTTTTGCTGAGTGAATATGGTCCGTGTTTCAGTAATTCAAGGACAGCCATTGAGTAAATTGAGCTGGTACTATAAGAATAACGTACTGTTGTATGTCAGTGGGCACTTTCTGGTTTGCCACAAGAGTACGTCAGTTCTACAGTATTGCAAGGTAGGATTCTATGTGCAGTAGTCCTGTAGAGCAGGGCCGGCAAGGCAAGGCACTGACTGGAGCCCAGGGTTTCCCAGCCAGGTGAGAAGGGCTCAGAGCTGGGTCCTCCTGGCAACTGTCAAATTCATCAGATGTTTCAAAGCCCCAAGTTGAGAGTGGGGTGTCTAGTTTAGAATCTGTAGTAACCTGTAACAGTAACTGGAACATTACTTTGAGGGCTGTCACGTTTGGCTCATTCTGTACCATTTGTTCTGTATTTGTCTGACAACCTCAGGACTTAGCTCCTGGAGGTGTAAGTGTATTATTATAACAGGCCCTTGGTGTTCATTTCCTTTGCAAACAACTACACCTGACCATGGTTTGTGTTTTTGTTTGTTTGTTTTGTTTTCAACTTGAAATGCTAATGATGCCGTAAGGGCTGTCTCTACCCAAAGGTCAAAAGAACGATGTCTGTCTTGGGGCCAGCTTTTAGTGGCAGAGAGGCTTGTGGAAGGGACAGCCTGCTAGCAAGATGCTGGAGGGATGTCAGGAGTTCAGAGAGCTCCACAGAGCCGGCGGGCAGTAGAATAGCAGTCTTGTCAGGTAGAGATGATAAAAATATCTGTCAGTTAGGTATACAGTAGCAATTATCTTAATGTCTATCATTCCTGTTTCAGATGCTTCAAACGTTAATTAAGAAAGTCTGGGTCCCCATGAAACCCTACTATACCCAGGTTTACCAGGAAATTTGGGTAGGAGTGGGGTTAATGAGCCTCATCGTTTATAAAATCAGGAGTGCTGGTAGGTTCTATTTTTATTTCTTGGCATTTAGCAGGGGAAATGTTTTCAGGGGGGAAAAATCATGATTCTTAACTGTGACTTTTTAAATTATTATTATTTCCTGTGCACTTAAACACACATACATGTGTGGGCACGCATGCCATAGCACTCATGTCATACATGTG